AACAATTAATGAAGATGGTGCTGAAGCCTCAAGTGATTAGCAATCCTGGATTTTTTGCATCTGCCTTACCCCAAGACTCTGCTGCCCAGGAATCTATCTTAGAAGTGGTGAAGAACATGCAGCCAACAACCAATCAGAAGCCTCAGCTTATCCAGTCAGAAAATCCAACAATAGAAAACCAAGATTCTTCCCAATTAGTATCCAGACAACCTGGTGCCGTGAAGTCGAGTTTGCCCAAAGTAAATGTGACTGGTAGCTGTAGCCAACACTCCCCAACCAAAGTTGAAAACCAAAACCCAGCTTTGAATTGTGATGAAAATTTGAAGATAGAACCAGAGTATTCAACTGATCAAGTTAGCCAGATAACTTCAACATCAGAGTGCACCGAGGAAAGAATAGTTGCAAATTCCATGAATCCTAGGAGAATTAACCAGCTGAATCTCGATGGTCAAAACCAGGTTGCCTCACATTTGCAACCTAATATATGGCCCATGCAGCCACAATTGGATCAATCGGTACTTCATGGTACTCACCAACTTCAGGTAACCCAAGCTGATAATGGTGCTCCAAACGACTTTCTTCCTTTCCCAGACACTGAGGAATGGACATCACAACTTTCTTCTGGCCAATCTCTTTCTGGGATTTACAGACCACCTGGGCCTTTACCAATGTTTGGATTGCAAGACTCTTCTGCTGCTTTTCCTGAAGCAATTAATGCTTCTCTGACCACAGTTGTTCAGGATACATGGGATCATCAGCTAAATAATATGAAGTTTTTGAGCCCAGCAGACCAACTAACTTCATTTACTCAACAAGACCCATGCAGCCTTTATTCCACTGGACTGAGAGATTTATCTGATGATAACAACAACCAAAGTGGGATATACAGCTGTCTAAACATTGATGTTGGTAATGGCAGTGGATCTATGATTGATCCTTCTGTTTCTAGTGCCATTCTGGATGAGTTTTGTACCTTTAGGGATGCTGATTTTCAAAATCCATCAGACTGTTTAGTTGGCAACTTCAGCTCTAGTCAGGATGTTCAGTCTCAGATTACATCTACAAGTCTCCCAGACTCTCATGCTTTCTCCCGGCAAGACTTACCAGACATCTCTGGTGGTACATCTTCAAGCAATGATGAGGGCTGCCTTCTGCAAAATAGTTCTTGGCAGCAAGTAGCTCCACGCATTCGAACTTATACCAAGGTAAGTTGTGCAATTGTAGAATTTGTGCAATTGTGTAGCCATGTTATTTTCTGAAGTCTTCTGAACTCCACATGTATTGTTTCTGCCTTGACAGGTTCAGAAAACTGGATCAGTTGGGAGATCAATTGATGTCTCTAGTTTCAAAAACTACGAAGAACTGATCTCTGCAATTGAATGCATGTTTGGACTTAAGGGGCTGCTCAATGACCCAAGAGGTTCAGGATGGAAGCTGGTATATGTTGATTACGAGAATGATGTTCTACTTGTTGGAGATGATCCATGGGAGTACGTATATTC